CCCCCCGAGGAGCTTTTCCCCCTCAGCATCCGTTCCACTTCAGCCTCGGCCCTTTGTGGCTCCCGCTGATAAGGCCGAGCTAATATCTACTCAGTCTGTGGCTGCATGGGAGATGATAAACGCAGGATGAGCTGCTGTCCTCTCCATCAGGACAATAGAAGCTGGAATCTCTCCCCCAGGCTGTTGTTATGTACAATAGAGGACGGCTGAAAACCTGCACGGGTGCTAGAAACAAAACACGAGACAGTGGAAAGGTGACAGATTGTCTCGGTGGTTACAATGGCTGTGGCATAAATAAAATGCCATGGTTTCAAACCCGGCTGCAGCCACAGTCCGGACTGAAAAATGTCCTCGGCAAAGATAATAAATCTGTGTTTTCAGATTATTCAACAGGAGCTGAAAATCAAATAGCAACAAAAATACCTGCAGTGTGAATCTGTAAGAAATCACAGATTATAAATCAGGCTTCAGGATTCTGCTTCAGGATTTGTCAGAGGTGAAACACATCCGTCCTACACGTGAAGAAACATTAAATATTATCTCTATTATCTTTTTTTTAGGTTTCGTTTGAACCAGAACAGCAACTATCTGTTCAAACATGTTTTCTAACATCTGGAGACTAAAACCCCAAAGTGTCAGCGAGGACGAACATGTCAGAGAAATCAGTTGGCGAAGTTTTGGGAATTAACATCTGAAGCGTTCAGAATATTTAAGCTTCTTGCAGAAACTCTTCTCGTCTCTTATATTTTATTTCAGTGGCTACACATGGATCCACCATCGTAACAGGCAGAAAACATGGAGCAGAATAAGATGCAGGGATTTATGAGAAAATAACTGTGGTTGCACTCATGCCCTCGTGTTATCACGTTCACTGCTCCACTTATGTGTTATTCATACATTCGAACAAACAGCCGATGAGCATTTTAACAACATTCACGAGGAAGATTGAATTTTGTTGGTTTTTCCAAATAACAGATCCACTTTCAGAATAATCATAATTTCAAATGTGTTGAGACTCACACCCTCATTTTCATTTCACTGCCGACACGACGGATTTCAAAACCACCGAGGCAATAAGGCCTGAGTGATGTCTTCACGTGAACAACAACGACTTTCCAATTAGTTTTTAAGTATTGTGAACGATGTGCGATATTCATTTTAAATGTTGTCAAGTTAAGAAGAAGGAAAAAAAGTTGGGGTCATATAAGTTGGTTTTAAGTCCACACGTGATCAGGATCCTTTTTAAATACACGAGAAACCAGTTTGATCAGCAGCTGGTGTTTGTTGTGATTCTAAACTGAATTAGAAATAAAGCCCCACCTCTCCTCTCTCACCCGTTTCTCTCCTCTTCCTCCTTCCAAACATGGTGGAGGCAGATGTCCGCCCACCCTGCGCCTGCTCCTGTTCATTTCTTTTAATATCAAGTTTCCCTCTCCCTCCTCTGAGCTCTCACTGTGTTGGAAATGTTCGGTTTCTCCCTGAAACGAATGCAAAGTAAGACACGTTGTTATTTGGTGATGTACGAACAAAACTGAAGTGAACTGAGGTGATTTTGTTGTCTGATGTTTTCCTCCTTTACAACTCGTCTCTCAAAACATGAATCACACAAACTCACCCTAAATGTAATTTCTTTATTCACGCGTGTTTTGAAGAACGACACCATCTGTCTGCTCGTCTGTGATGTGATATTTCAACATTTATATGGATTTGATTAAGCAGGAGCACTTAAAAAAACATCCTGAGAGAAATGGGCACGGACGAAAAAACTGAAGCTCTCAATGTTAATCTTGGTGCACAAACACACACACACGTGCTGATACCACATCTGCATGATGATGATGCTCCCCACAGCGAGCCGCATGTAGCTCACTCATCCATCTTGGAACCGTCTGCACACGGCTCAATGTGGCTACAATTATTTTACAGTACAAAGTGGTGCAAAGCATCATGGGAGGCCACACACTGCTTATTCAGTCACAGTCTTCTCTGTTCTCTACTTTCAGAGGTCCAGACATTTTGTCGGAGGAGCTGTCACCTGAACAGGATCTGTAAGAAATAACTATTTCATGATAAATATCATCCCCGTGATGTTTAACTCCTCCATGTCAACAAAACACTGACCATCTGGAAAAGACGAGTCAGTTACTCATCAACTTGAAATCAAGCGACAACCTCAAATGTGCGTTAATAATAAGGGCACTGATACTGATGATTAACATTTACAATAACACTTAAATACACAGTGAGTTAAAAGCTGTCAGATCACATTATTGGAATCATGCACAGTGACGTCTCTGCAGTCAGCTGGTTCCACGGGTCTGCAGGCTGCTCTAGAAATAATTAGAAATTACAGCCAGTTAACTCGAATGTGATTTGCAAATTTGAATATTCATTTTCTGAATGGGTTATTAGACTAAATTGACCCTGACTAAACCGACCCCGGGTCTTTGAAATTCATGGTCTCAGTGTTGGCTTTAATAAATGGTAATTTAATGCCTAGCGTGGCTCCACTCTCCGTCTTCGCTAACTGAAACTTACTTTACCGTGAAATCCGGTGACCTCTGATTCATTAGCTGAATCTCCATTTGTGTGTGTGTGTGTGTGTGTGTGTGTGTGTGTGTGTGTGTGTGTGTGTGTGTGTCATTGAGCCCAGTGGTTGTAAATACCCTCAGTTGTAACTTCTGCTTTCAGGAGGCTTTGCCTCCTGGAATGACGAGCTTCATTTTAAACCACATAATGGATATAACGTCTGTTAACTTCTTCACCTTCAAAGTTTCTCTCTAATTTCTTCCAAAGTCGAGTAAAACACTCCCTCACTTATTCC